TTTTAATTGTCACATGTGTCCATTTATATGAACCAGCCCCTTCCAGGGCTGCGAGTTTCTTCCATTCTGCGGACTTATGAAAACGATGCTTATGACCACGATAATTACGCTGTTATTAAGTGGCCTACGTGTGTTTAGGGTAAAGACATGATACTCTAAGCTATGAGGAGAAGTGGGGCGAGGGTGTAATATAAAATTGTTAATTAAGTGAGAATGGTAAGATATAGAATGTAGATTATGTCTTGTAAATTTTGGAAATATTAATTTGATACTTTGAGAATGGAATATTAAATAGGTAGATTTTTGTTCTTAGAGAAATTAGAAAAATTGTTGGTTAGGTGGCGTTTCCAATTTTTCAAACTTTTTAACTTTTTTTTGAAATCTCTTCTCCGTGACACTCTATTGACATCCCATTGATTCTCGTGCTTTAATCAAATTATCCTAGTAAGAATTTTATATCGTTATATCATTATACCAAGCAAAACGTGGCACAAGAAACAAAGAAGAAAGAAAGAAGAGACTTTTAAAAGAAAAAAATTTAGAAAAGAAGAGAAAGTAGAGAATTTAAGGACAAATTTTAGTAGAAAGGAAAACATCGAAAGAAGAAATGAAAACTTGTATTTAATGTTATTATATCTTCTTTAAAGCAGAATGTCTTATATAATTTTGAAGATTAATTTAATTGATCCATGTTTATGTGGAAGACACCGTGATCTTCCTAAATTCTCAATGACAGACTTATTATTCATAATTAAGCGAAGACAGTCAACGTCATAACTTAGAAATTACTTTTAATTAGTAAAGTTTGACATAGAATAATAGACTTGACTTAGAATAAACGGACGCTTAACGCTGATAAAATCTTCTTTTAATTTTTGTTATCGACGATCCAATTGCTATCGAATCTTTCTTTCTTTTTCCTTATAATTTCGTAGAACTGTTGCTCCAGATTGGAGATAAACATGATAAAATTACACACGGTTTCTCTGTTTATTGATGAATTTGCCAATTCAAATGCTAAACAGCTGTTATGCATCGTAGACACGGGAAAAATTATGTTAATGGCAATCGATAGTCGTCATGGTTTGACGCAATTTGATAATAAGATATTTGCCGCAAATGGTGTTAGCGATCTATTTATAATTACAGCAAATACTACAATATGTCCATCAAGTATACAAAGCTCTTACTATACAATCACAAAACGCAAAAGAAAGAAATGTAATGGTAGGAGAAACGAAGAAATCATGTATTACATAGAAATTTAATCCAATGCTTCCAAAAATGAAGAAGAGTCGAGCAGAAGAATATTCTAAATCTTCTTTATTTTTCGTTTTCTTTTTCTTCTTCTTTTCCTTTGTTCAACATTACAATGCAAAGATATTGAAGAAAAGGAAAGTCTAACTGAAGAATATTCTGCTATAATTGCAGGACAAATTCAAGAAGAAATGAGGAAAGTAGAAATTATGAAAGATACTAATGTAAAGTATTAAGAAGAAAAACAAATTCTAATATAGTTACAAAGCAAAAATTCAAGAAGATATTATAGGAAATACTAATGCAAAATGCTGAAAAAGAAAAGAATTCAAGTTTAGGAATATTTTAATATTTTAATACCTCATTATATAATTTTAATATTTTAATAGGGAAATTTAAAAAGAAATGAAGAAGCAGAAATTATGACGAATTCTATTACCAGAATACTAAAACAGCTGAAAAGTACAATTGCAGACACTTCTAAGTAATTATTCCACTTTTGTAAAACACCAAAAGAGACTAAAATGGAAAATGTCATATTTAAAGAAGGGAAAAATGCTCTAAATTATAATTTTGTGTAACAAGCTACTATTTTCTCCGATTCTTCGCTCACTTTCTTTAATAAACTTACCATTTCCATGTCCTTATCCTCCACAGCTTCCATGAAGTAACTCGTACTCGAAAACATACTTTATGAAGAATGTCAAGAGATACCATGAACAGTTGCAGGAGCAAACTCGCGATTGCAATGGTTTCCTCGATAAAGAGAGCTGATAAACTACCACTACCCGCTCTGTATGCTGAAGATTGGAACATGAAAAATCGACACCAACCAGAGTATACATGAAAACCATGTTTGCAGTCAGTTGGAACGGGATTCAACCGGTTACCATTTAGAGGGTTGTAAATCAACAATATTCCTCTAAGTTCTACATCTCTGACACTTTCATTTATATCATTTTTGTTATAAGTAGCAAGCAGACTCTGAAAAAATTAACAATGAGAAAGGAAGGAATATTTCATAATTTAGGAGACAGAAGAATTAGAAGAGTTAAGTGTAATTAACAATTGGAATTAATAACGAAGAAGAAAGAAAAATTAAAAAATTTGAAGTTAAAAGATTATGCAAAAAGATTTGATAAAAGTAGGAATGAAGAACTTGACAGTCTTCATCAGTGAAGATAGTTGAAGATAATTTTAGGAAAAATGTACAATGTGTTCATGACTAAATATAGGAGATTATCTGTTATTCATTCTAACAACGGAGAACTCATGAGTTTTTCTGAATGAATCTGTCATTTTATCGGTTTTCTAAATGTGATTGTCTTCTAAAATTTTTTTAGCTTACATTTTGATAATTGAAACATAAGTTAATTCACTATGGCGAGGTGATTACGCCTGCACTATGCGTATGAAAACACAAAAGAAGATGGTGGGGAGAGGCAAGAAATGCTCCAGATTATATATGACACAACGTGATACAATGAAATTCTCTTCCTCTAATGATTATAGTAATTCTACTAGGAACGCATGATTCATGTCGGGTTAAACAAGTTACACCGCTAATTGATGAATGAACACACCGAAATAAATAACATTACTAACCAGTAATTACACATTTAGAGATATCTAGTAAATTTCTTCTTCAAAGAATACTTCCAAATGATTTAACAATTGATGGCAATAAATATATAAATGTATAAACTATACAAAATATAAATGTTAAAGTAAAATGTAAAATTAATCTTCTTTTGAAGAAATATTGAAGAGATGTACTGAAGAAGATATTTAAAGATATTGAAACTTTTTCCCATTTAATAATTAATTTATTAGATTGTATAAATATAAAGATTAAAAAGGTTTTAAATCTAAAATTAGTATTCTACTAAAGAAGATATTGAAATTTTATATAAATGAAGCTATATTCTAATTCCTTAGGTTAATTAGTAGTTTCCTTTTAAAAGAATCAAAATAAAATTAGTACTTACTCTTTCGTCAAACAAATTTTCAATTCACAAACAATTAAAACAGTACTTTAAATTTGTGAAAGCTGAGAAATTTGAATTTTTCATACACTCTACGAGCTCGAGAGAAACGCATAAATACGCTCATACACACACACACACACACATGTATTTTAAATACACTATTCATTTGATATCGTCTATAATCTATACTTTTGGTTTAGTCTAATTTAATAAAATACTTCGGCTGTCAAAATAATCGATAATTCTACACGTTTTCTGTTTTTCTTTCTGTTCCTTAGTTTTGCTCGCATAATGCCACACGATCAAGATAAAGAGACCGTTGACTTCGAAGGTAAACAGGAGGATGATCCTGTGTATAGAGTTTCAGGGGAAAGAGAGAGGAACAGGGAGAAAGAGAACCTTAGAAAGATAAACAAAAGTAAGTATGAGAATAAGTAAATATAAATACATCTGTACATTATACTATCAGATTCATAAAAATTTTATTTAATCGAATGAAATAAATCATTATTTAAATCACTGTAATGTTACAATAGCTTCTTCTCACAATAATTTGTTTATTCATTAAAACCAGGAGGAATGATCAAAAGACAAATATAAGATATTTAATAAGATACTTCTCTGTATTTTTCAATAATTCTAACTTATACATTCAAAAATCCTATATTGAAATATTCAATATAGCAGATAAAGTGATTTTTGTACAATAAAGTAAATTATTTATTGTAATAAGTTGTCAAGAAAAGAGAATGCAGTATTATTTTGTATTTATTATAAGTTAAGACCAGAAAATTGATTAGTATAACACAAATCTAAATATTTATAATGAACATAAAACATTCATTTATTAATTTTTTAGTAATTCTAATTTGCATATCCAAGAATCTCATACTTACTTGTGAAATAAGATATACAGTATAATAGAAGACTTAAAATGGTAAATTTTATATATATATATTTACATTTAACGGCAATTTCATGCTGGATAATCGTATTCGAAAGAGAATTAACTAAGTCGAGGAAGACTGAGTCTTTCAGAGGACATGGGTAAGTATAGCATTCGACACCTCGTTTAAAAAGAATGTCAGTTAGATTTCCTGATGGATTAATTGGCTGTTAAAGAAGTAGTGGACGTGGAAAATGGCGGTCACAGTTTCGCTAGAAAAATAATTAAAAAGAGCCCAGTAATCGAAGCGCGAGCCACGGATAAATTGAAACTGGTTTCAACTGGCCACTAGTAGTTTGATCTGGGACTTGCTTCTCTCCAGATGCACCTTAGATCGTTCTCTTTCTTCTGCGAGAACTTCTTTTGAAATACACATTGTCCCCTTTTATTTTTCTTTCGAAATTTCATAACACTAATTCCTACAAAAAATTAAACTTGTAATTAATTTCAAACAAATTTTCCATTAAAGAGTCTGACAAATTTCAAATATAATTAAATTTCATTTGCTGGAAGTTAATTGTAATATAAGTTAATGCAAAGTATGTTAAAGAAGTGATGTTATGTTATGAAGTTATGTTATCCTGGAATAATTCATAAGAAGTCTTCTGATTTGCTTTATTGAAAGAGATATAATGTATTAAAGAGGGAATTAAAAGCTACAAATTTCAGTTCTAAGCTAGTCCATCATTTCTAACAATAAATACTCATTCCTGCTGCTCGATTGTCTTACTGTTAATTGTAATTACTTGATTCTTCATTGGATAAACAAGAGGAGAAACTGAAAATAATTGCTGCTACTCATAGCATCGTTTCCTTTCACACATACATTGTTTTATTGATCCCTGTTGCATAGTACAGCGAAGCTTGGATAAATATATTGCTACATTCTACTGACTGACAGACTAGCCGAAAAAAAGTGTTGCATATATCATCACACTAAATAACAAACCTATTATAAATATAAAATTTACACTCTACGGATATCTGTTTTGGAAAACATCATGAGTTATCCATAGAATACTCTGTATTGAACTATTGTATATAAAAATATATCTTTTTATATTCAGAATTAAAATATAGCCTCTTTTGGTAAGAGAGTATTATTACTTACATACATACAATTTTGTAGTGCATGTTTCTCAATTCTAAAATAAAGAGAATCATTATTTAATTAATTATCGTCCAATTGTAAAAAAGATTAGACCTGTTTTTCTGGTGCATCTACGAAAAATATAATTCCATAAAGTAATTTGTACAATATTTGTGATACTTAAGAGTGAATACATTAAGTATCTGTATTGAGCAGATTTGCGCAAATTCTTTGGAATAAAAGACATTTCTTTTGGTACCATAAAAATTCGCATGCCATCGTGTCTTTGTCATTGATATGTGAAACAAAATAAGTAACTTGTGCATTTCTGTAAAACATCTTATAGACAAATTACAAAATGGCAGTTTAGGAACAAGATGGAAGACATTCGCTTGATAGTGAAATACTATTATCTCAATAATTACAAACAAATAAGTAATTATTATGGGCTAAAAGCACCGACAAATACCTTTTTATAATATAATATTGGTGTTTTGAACTGACATGTCCAAATGGGCAATTTTCTAGCCCAGCTGACTCATTCTAAAATTACCTCCAACAATTTATCAATAAATATATGAATCCCGTTTTTTATTTCTTCCAAAGCGGCACAGCCGAACTACGGTAAAATTAAATTTAGTATTATAAATATGGATAATAATTTAATTTTCCTATTCATTCTTTGGACATGTCATCTTTTTTCTTTTAAGGGACCAACTTAAGTGGTTTCAAGTCCCGTACAATACTTAGGCTTACAAAACAAAGTATGGAATGCCTAGAATCGAAAATGCCACTTGAAGAAAGCAAGCGATTAACCAAGTATGCATTAAAGTTTGGTGGTATTGGTATCATCAGAAGGTTCCACCACATCATTAGCCGAATTTACATTGAAAATGTACTTCTTATGCGCAGTAGCATTCTTTGATACCACGTTCTCACTACTACTAGAAATCTCCCTATTCCTGTGACGTATACGTTCTCCTATTAAAGGGAAGAACAAGTTGGTATCCAGCCCAACTTTCGGTTCTTTATATATCCGGTTCAAACAGTAACTGAGGCCTAATCCAATTATGAACGTCATCAAAAATCCAATTGGAGCATACCACATATAAGAAACCCGATACATATAGAGGTAATCATCTGATTTCCTAAAATAAAACATTATTTCATTATAAAATTTCCTTTTTAAAAGATTAATTAAGGTTAGGAATTGCTTACAATGGTACTTTTTCCATAGGGATGAAAATGGTTGCATTCGAACAACCACTATTGGTAACTGGTAGTGTTGTTGGAATAGGCCTGGGTTGTCCAAAAGCAACCCAAAACAAAAATGCTAGAGACACAGTAGCGCCTATTACAGACCCTGTTTCAGAAGCTGTTTCTGTGAGCATTCCAAGAGTGAAAAGGCCTAATAATGGACCACCCACTACCCCAAATATTGTTAGGCCAGCCTATAACATCAATAGAAATAAAACTTTCTTAAATGAAATCCCGACAATATTTTATAGTATTCTTATGATTTAATTGGTAAAAAATGGATACCTGTAAAACACCTCCCAATAATTGTGCTAGAAACGCCAAGGCAATGGAAATAATTCCATAAATGAGGGCAAGTAACTTAGCCATGGTTGTCGACATACTCGTAGAGAATTCCTTACCACAACATTTTTTATATGCTGGTTTTAAATAATCTTCTAGTGTTACTGCTGCCAAAGAATTTAATGCTGCTGAAATAGTGCTGAGACCAGCACTAAAAATACCTAAGATATGAGAATATATTAGTTTGAAGAATTTACTTCACCTGCATTAACACATTTTTAAGCATTAAGAGGTAAAATAAAAATATCAATAAATTTTACCTGCTATGAAAAGACCAGGTAAACCAGGTTTGTCAGACATGGTGTCCATGACATACAAAGGCATCAACATATCTGTAGATGATATTCTTTTTTGAAGCAAAGGATCACATTTATAATATTTACTATATATTGCTAATCCTGAGAAACACGTAGTCATTGAAAGTATTGACAAAATTGGCCATGCCAGCCAAAGTGCTTTCTGTGCTGCTTTTATATCTCTAAAAATATTATGTAAAATTAATAACATTTCATATCTTACTCATTGTGATACTTACCTCACTGTTAACAAACGCTGTACTTGAACTTGATTTACGCCATACAGTGATAGAAACGTACATAAACCACCAATAGTGAGCGACCACCAAGTATGTCGAACTGTGGGGTCTATCGAAATACTTAGAAGATATTTCATAATTAGTTTATCAAAATTAAGATATCATTTTTCATTATGCCACACATTGTACCTGTCAAATTCAATCCTATGTCCTTCCTCCGCTATTTGCCAGATTCTGCCTATACCTCCAGCCTCGTTAGCAGCTGTGATGATAATAATGAAGACAGAAACAAACATCAGCAATCCTTGAAACACATCTGTGATTAAGACAGCTTTGATACCCCCTATGCTTGAATAGAAGGCACATACTAAGCCAAGGATAATAATACTGCCAGTTTTAGAAATTCCTGTTGTTGCCTCTAATGCTAGAGCGGGAGCATAAAGTACAACACCAGAATACAAAAGCAATTGCAGCCAGTACACAAAACTAGCCATCATTCTAGCTCTGATTCCAAAACGTTTTTCTAAGTACTAGAAAGAGATAAATATGTAATTTAAATATACATAATTTTTTATCACTTTTATTTTGTTTAAACGAAATTTATCATATAAACCTCATAAGCGCTTGTTGCTTGGAGTTTAAAAAATACTGGTAAAAATCCATAACAAACAAGAGGAGTTCCTATGAGGTATGATAAATTAATTACTACAAACTGTGTTCCATATGTGTAATTTTCTGCAGAAACTCCTAATAAAGTAATTGCAGACATGAAGGAAACCACTAGTGCAACAGCCACAGGTGTGATGCTCATTGACCTGCTGGCAATGAAGTATTCCTGTTAAGAAAATAATTTTGTTTTAATTTAACATTGTTTTAGAAGCCACAATTTTAAAAGAATGATGTATATACCTCCATAGTTTTTTGTCGTCCACCACTGAACCGATAATAGATACCTATGCCCAGACTTATGCATAGTGTGGCTGCTATGACCAGGTAATCTTCCCATTGTAATGTACCTACTTTTTCCATACTATTGTTCTATTGATATAAGCAAGGAATACTCTATTAATTTTATACACACAGATGCATTAGGTAATATATATTAAACAGAAAATAATTCTATGTAATAGTCAAAGAAGAAAATAAAGTTGAAATACATTCTATAATTTCAAACTAAAAGATCAAATTAAGAAAGATATAAGTATAATCTCCTAATCTACCTTAAGCACCATATCTTTATAATGTGTGTTAAGTATTATTTCCTAATATTATCTACTGAAAGCAAAACATAGTTTTGCATCATAAATGCTTGGACATGTATCACATTTAGTTCAAATTCTTTTTAAAATAAAAAAATTCTTACTGAAGAAAAAGAATATTATAAAATCTAAGAACCTGTAAGATAATGCAAGAAGCAGACTATATAGGCATATAAACATATAGAGATCAAAGAAGTTCATATTTAAATACTGTTTACTTATCAGTTATAAAATAAACAAATTATATAGTACAGACCAATTATAGTATCATCTAGGACTCTAATAGTGCACAACAATGAATATAGTGACCCATATTTATTGAGTTGTGAAATTAGCGATAGTTCTTATCAACCGCATAAACTTCATGTAATCCTATTTCTTTGATCATTTAAGTCGCTGTGTTTGATTGTATCGAAGGACTAACTATTGTTGATGACGTAAATAATAGTTTACATGGTTGTTTCAATGATAATTCGTATCGATGGATAGAAAGATGTATCGTAAAGCATATTGCGAACTTACCGGGACCGTCACAACGTCGTTCACCGATGCAACTGACAGAAATATCTCGCTACGACGGATCGCTCTTCATCCGCCTCGCTGTTCTGTCTGTTACTGACTGTTGGAGGACTTTAACATGCTCGATCTTTCACATGAAAAAGTAGCGTGAGACACAAGGACACGTGTAGAAGAAGTACGCAACACCATATTGAAACTATGCGCGTGCGGGTTTAAACGGTACGAGAGTACCATTTTAAATACATTTCTGTATCATTTCATATTACTTAAAAAAATATTGGAATTTTATTGGAATCTATGGAAATTTTTTATTTAGATTAGGAAACTTCAATTTGCTCAGAAATGTTAAAAAATTTCAGCGCACTTTAAAAAATATTAGAATTTAATTGGAATGTTTCTTTTTCATTTAAATTGAAAAATTTAGAAGGTTATTTTCACTCTTTAATGAGGTATTTAATCAACAATGAATTGGTCTTTATATTAAGCATTTGTTAAGAATTCCAATCTCCTAAGAAATATTGAACATCTTTAGCATATATTTTGGAGAATATATCTAGGATTTTATTAGAATTCTTCTATGAAAATTTTTATTTTAAACTGGCAAATGCAGGAAGATTATTTTTCTTCGTTAATTAGATTTTTGATGAATATAAAGCATTATACCGAAAACTAATTAAGGAATAAATTAAGTTTGGGAAAAAATTGGGCATAAATACTTAATAAATAACTCCATGGAAAGCTTATTAATTTAAATCATTTATAGATTATGCAACATTGTTTTATTAGTAAGAAAAGTGTGCAAATTAAATTTCTTTTTATTTTAAATACGAATAGGATTCAACAGTTTTATTTTGAGAGCCACTGTTCTGTACTTTTAAATTACTGTGGTGACATAATTAGAGGCAAAGGTAGTCGATATCTATTTAAATAGCCACTAATATACGCAAATAAATGCATCGGTATTATAAAGTTAGCCATTTTATTTATTCTGGATAACTTAACAATATTTTTTAACGTTTCATTAATGTCTTCAAATCATACTTAATTTCAGCACACTCAGCTATATGTTATGCATCTGTTATGCAAAAATTACGTAACACGTAATCGATATCCTGATTTAAGAAATCATTACCTGGAATTAAATAGAAACTTAATTAATTGGATGAAGCTACAAAAACTCGATAAACGTGACTATTAATTTTTAAATTATGTAGAAATGAAAAATCTCACTGTAAAAATTATTTTACACTAAAATAGTAATTAAAAATAAAAATATTTATAATAATACTCCAAATGCATGATACTCTGAGCTACAGTAAAATTGATTACTATTTTCTACTAATTTCTTCTAATAATTAAGTATCTTCCGTGATGGCTGATTAATAACGCCGTTTTCACTGATTCGTGAATTCTCAGAGTTCTCGACTGATCGATCTCTCGAAATCTATTCAGGCAATCGACTTGTTTGAAATGGCAGATTATAGTGAAAAATGTGTGGAAGATTGTTCATTTGATTACAGTGATGATAAACAAAAAGGTGTCTGCTTAATTAAAGAAGAGTAAGTAATCATTGTTATTTTGACTATTAACATTCAATTTTTTCAAGGTAACTCATATAAATAACATGTATAACTACATAACCTCGATTTGTTCAAACCGCGTGGCATTCTGTCATTATGCAAAACTTTTCTGTCGAACGCAATAAAATAAAGATCACAAAAATACTTCTATGTCGTAATATTTTCTTAAGTAATTTATCTTCCGATAAAAAAAATGCTTTTATTTTTGTATAATAAATTTATCCGTAATAAAATGTCACAGGTTTATTATAGAAGATCATGTAAGACTTCTAAGTGAAAAATGTTTGACTGAGACTGACAAGCAGAAAGTATCAAATAATACAACTAATTTAAGTGAGGATGTTTCTATATTGGATGAGCCTCCAACCAAAAAGCTTAAAAATGATGATAAAAAAGAAAAGCTCAGGGGGCAAAACAAAGCAAGGCCACCACCATTTAAGACACAGCGTGAACTGAATTTATGTCCCTGGGTAGCTGACCAAGCAGTAGATGAGCCTGAAAGGAAATGTGATAATAATCAGTGCATATTTTTGCACAACAGAGTTGAATATTTAAAGATTAAGCCAGATGATATCACTGATGAATGCTATATCTTTGAGCTCACCGGCAGGTGTCCACGTGGTGCTGCCTGTAGGATGGGTTCCAAACACTTGACAAAAGAAGGTTTGAATATTATTGACAAGGAAAAAATGGACGAATTTAGGAAAAGGCCTCCTTCTACAAAAAATCATTTAGCTAAAGATATTCAGACACAATTAAGAAAACACAAATATAATTTTTCTAAATCTGAAAATATTGTTAAGGCAAATGGACCATCTAGGAAAAATATAGGAACAAAAAAGGTTAAACAAGAGCCAGAGATAGAAAAAATTAAACAAATTGATGAATCCTTGGACAGAGATAAATTGGAGGCAAAAGATAGTCCAATATTAGATACTTCTATTAATGAATCTAAGAATAAAGCTCCTGAGACTCAAAATACAGAGAAGAAACTTGGCCCTATTGAAGATTATGATTTAATAAAATGTAGGGACTCAGAAAAGAAAAAAATTGATTGGAGGAATAAGATATTGTTAAGCCCATTGACAACGGTAGGCAACTTACCATTTAGAAGAATATGCAAAGAATATGGAGCAGACATAACTTGTGGAGAAATGGCTCTGGCGCCAAGGATATTGAAAGGAGCACATGAAGAATGGGCTTTGGTAAAAAGACATGAATCCGAAGACATTTTTGGTGTACAGCTTTGTGGAAACAACCCAGGAGTATTAACAAGATGTGCACAGTTGCTGAATGAAGAAATTGATATTGATTTTATTGATTTGAATCTTGGTTGTCCCATAGATCTAATTTATAGACAGGGAGGAGGCAGTGGTATGCTGAATCGATTAAATGTTCTAGAAACTGTTGTGAAATCTGTTAATCAGGTTATGAATATACCTTTAACTGTAAAAACTAGAACAGGGGTTTACATAGACAAACCTATTGCACATACTTTGATGCCAAAATTTCGTGATTGGGGTGTATCCATGATTACTGTGAGTAAGTTAATTATACTCTAAAGTTGTTATGATAATACTTTAATAAATTATGTTAAAAAATATTAACTATTAATTGTAAATTAATGTAGGTTCATGGAAGATCACGTGAACAAAGGTATACAAAGTTAGCTGATTGGGATTATATAGAAAAATGCGCGAAACTAGCTGATCCTATTCCAGTATTTGGAAATGGAGACATTTTATCATATGATGATTATCGAAGAGTTCAAGATGCATATACTTCTATATATGGCATCACCATAGGACGTGGGGCATTGATAAAGCCATGGATATTCACTGAAATAAAAGAAAAGAAGTTGATTGATATATCAAGTTCAGAAAGATTTGAGATCTTGAGAAAATATTCTAAATATGGCCTTGAACATTGGGGCTCGGACACTCGTGGCGTCGAGACAACAAGGAGGTTTATGTTGGAGTGGATATCTTTCTTGCATAGGTAATTTTGATTTTTTATACATATATACATATGTACATTTCTATACATATGTTGTGCAAATTATTAAATTCTATTTCTATTTAGGTATATTCCTGTTGGAATATTAGAGAAACCACCACAAAGGATTAATGAAAGACCTCCATTTTATAGAGGCCGTGATGATATGGAAACGCTAATGGCCAGTTCAAATTGTGCAGACTGGATTAAATTATCGTAAAAATATTTTATTTCAATGTCATATCTAATGCATTTGCTTTGTTTTAACTTAGACTTCATTTTCAGAGAAATGTTACTAGGAAAAGTGCCTGAAGGATTTCATTTTTTGCCAAAACACAAGGCGAACTCGTGGAAATAATAAATGTGTCACGTAAACAAAATAGTTTTATATCATAATATTTTTCCTTCCTATTTTTAATATACGTTTACCACATAGAATAAATTCTAGGTAAAAGAACAAAAAAATCGTTTTTATTTTGTTAAGCACTTATAGCTACATAAAAAGAAAACAATGAAATAAACAACTTTAACTAACAAATAATATAGATCACAAATTTAGATATAATTCATAATATACATAATGATTCTATCTTCTGCACCACTGCAAAGTGATCAATGGATTGAAATGTGATGCCAAATGAATTTATCTTTCCATTCCTTGATCGTTAACCTTCCTGCTTCACCTATGGACTACACATAGACTATTGCAGACTAGTAATGATTAGTTATATCTCCTAGGATAGATTTTGGCCACATGCAATCACAACCACTGGCAATCTGCTTGATGAAAGGTTCCCAACATTCGTTCTCCCATCGCCGCCTTACCAATAACAAGTTTTTACTTCTTTGCACGCAATGAAAGCCATTATGCACGCATTTCTGAAATAAATATACTTCACTTAATACAAGAACAGAAACAAGAGATCTTCAGCTTCTACAGAGATCTTCCAAGGCTGGTCATTGGCAAAGGTTAATATTTTATGTTATTGCATTCGCAAGATATAAATATTAATTTGTTGACAATTGCCATCATAGAAACCTAATACATTCTAAAATGCTAAATTAACTTCAAATAGAAAAACTATTGTACACTCACAATTTCACTCAGGTATTACAACTATGAGAATAAAACAATCATTTCTTTCAGATTCCAGACTTTCTCTATTCGAGGGACACCTAAATTACTAACTACAGTACTTTATTCAATGGAAGTTTACATATACTCTAAATTTGAGGTAATTTTGCTAAAACTATCGAATTTCTTTTTTATTTTTCAATCTACCTGCTTCGATGGATTCGTGGCGCGTTGCAAGCTATCTAGCAAATTGTGACTTTTACAGTAAACTTCGTGATAAAGAGGCGGTTGGTACTCGTATTCAGAATCATCTAGCCGCACTGTTTCCGTTACAGTTTCACATAGACTATGATAGTCCTATAGACAAAGTACAAAATGTTAGACTTCGCTTTCCATTTATTTCTCTTTGTTGAGTACAGTATGACTGACAGGCAATGAATTTCTATTGTCCCTATTAAGGGGCTGTTGCTGCCCGTTCTCAAGCTTTTCGATATATTCTTCTTCAGGTAGATAGAAGAGGTCCCGCCCCAGGGGAGGATGATATCTAGGATCATGATACTGTGTGACATCCAGTTTCTTTAATTCCTGAAAACTTCTGTTGCACTTCTTGTAGAGATCGTAAGAATCCATCCCTAACACTCCTACAGCTGCAAACTATAAACAAAATTTTAGGAATTATAAAATAGAACTCACTTTTTTTATGAATTGTCAAATTTCCATTGTATTTTTTACTCCGATTAAGAAATGAATTTCCTTATTTTAAATATGAATTATCCAGTAAAAAAGATATATATATATATACATATAATCCTAATATATATAACACTAATACAGTACAGCTTATATACATATATATATAAGATATATTATAGAGAATGCAATTCAAGAAATTACGAATTGCATAATGAGAATTGGATTAGCTACAAATGTAGTTATACTGTATTAACAGAATAAAGATTTTGGCCATTATAGTAAGGAGAAATATTGAAAGATCAAGTCTAGAGGATCAAAGCTGCGAAAAACATCAATAACGTGAAACATCAATAATCGACAATCGTACTGGCATTTTGTCAGTTACTACATTATTAAACGACTGATTCACTCCACTTCCATTCCCACTTGGTAGAACCCTCTGCATACGATTTATGCTTTATCAAGTTTGATGGGTCTCTAACGTTGACTGAGACCTCCGTCAATGCTTAAATTTTAACGATGACGCAACATGATGTCACGAAATATCATTAAAAACTCATGATATCATCGTCTTTATCATTTCAATAAACGTCTATAAAAAGAGAACATACAAAAGAATATATAAAATTAATTTTTCAATATATTGACTGGAATTATATTAAAGTATTTACGGTAGCAGCAGCGTGGTGAAGATATATTAAACTAGTTCAATGAAGATCATTAATTGAAATTTAACAGAGGATTAATCGAGCTAGTCTCGTGATCAATTGGTTAGTGATGTCAGAAATCAGAGTAGTGTGTTGACGAATCTTTGAAGATGATGTTAGTCCCGCGAAAAACAGATTATGAACCGGTCAGCAAGGTCGATCGTGATTGAGCTGATGTGCTTCGCGTCGTATGATATAAATTGGTCTTCCCCGTGCCGATCTCTGTGACTCTGCCTTTAAATTGACTGTGGAATAGTACTCACCTAGCAAAAACAGAGGAGTAATTTGGAAACAATAAAACATTCAACTATACTAGCTAATACTAAACAACAAATTTCATAATTTTTAAATTTCAAGCTAATTTTCTGTTCAAAAAAACGTTCTCTTTAACTAGAGTTATTGATCAAAAAATCAAAAAAATACTCTAAGTCATTAAAACTGCTATAAACCTTTTCCAGAGATAACTGTAATTTGAGAATGGACACTTTAATTTAATATTTCTGTTTGTAAATTATTCCTCTACTGTAGGTTCTTTTGGATTAATATTTTTATTCCTATGGATGTAATTAGGAAAGTGAAATCATGGAATTTTTGGAAATCATCACTTCTACTTTTAAATCGCCCATAAATGCACAAATATTCATAGTCTAATGATTAGAAATCCAAAAAATAGAAACTCTTCTCTAAAGGTGCCTTAAAACTTTCTTCTCCCAATTAAACCCTAAGTCAGTAACAATTATTACACCTCAAAGTGTCTAATAACTAAAACTAAAGCATTGTTCACCAAATGGGCAAAATTAAAAGTGAATTAACACTTTCAGGAGGGGAGGTCGTCAGCTCGGACCGCTATCAAGCGTATTCTCCACGCGGTGGCACGTCGCTGTGTAGTAGGTAGTTATCCAATTGACAGTGCCCCCGTCTGACATAGTTCAGTCGACGACAAACTCAGGACGATCCGACTGCAACTCTGCCAGCAGTGACGTTTTTGCTACTCCACGTTCCGGTATCCAGCGAATTGCGTCCTTCCAACGTGTGCTTCTTCCAACTTATCTCAATACCGTAGACAGTGAAAGGAGCATTTTCATCATTATAATCATTGAAGAAATCGACATGACGATTCCCGTAAGGGTGTCCAAAAACGTGATCGTGCTTTGGGACCGGCTCACTGGTCCAGTGAGAACGAACTCGGTCAAGGTTGGCCATTGTTAGTGAACTGTTTCTTTTTTCTTTTTTTTCTGGCTGTCTAGAGACAGCCGGTGAAATCGGTCGGACCGATATCTTCTTCTGGAACAAACACGTGTCCAAGTGGAAGGAGATGTGAGTGGACCAGCACGATTGATATGGCAGCCGACCTGTACGCGAATGGATCTGTGAAGTCAACGTCCGACAGGTGAGATATAAGCAGATAAGAGATAACTTCAGATAAGCTGCTGTGCTTTCTGTTCCCTATATGCTTTGATGCTTGTTTGTTGTCCAACGATGAAGATAAACTGGGTGGAAATGGAATGCGATGGCAGTTTATGCTTCAAGGCAGTATTATTGGTTGCAAATGGGAACACTGGCATTATTGAGACTGTTTGCTTAGAATTTCTAAGAAACTGTTAGTGTTTGTGGTTGAAAGTAGTTGAAGGATGGATGAATTATTGGTCTGCGACCAATTTTTTAGAGAGATTTTCTTTTCCTTTGTAAGGTTCATAGATAATAGGCATGTAGGTTTTATTCTTTCATTGGTATATGTTTCATACTTTGATCATTGATGATTTGAGTGTTAATTCTCTTTCTAGTAAAATTCTCAGGATAAGTAGACCAAAGTGGAATTACGTCAGAATTCATAGAATTCTACACTGAGGAATGCTTGACACTCTTAAGGAGGAATGGATAATGATCTACTACAGTTTTGATTGTCGCATTTTTAGTATCCTGATTTTGGGATGACTCGTGCAAGAACGTGATTTCCTCGCTTTTTTACGGCAATTTTTATGACAGTGAAACGGTTTAATAGCCGTTACTGCTGTCTGAGTTAATAACCAATTGACCCTCGACCTCCTGAGCAAAGGTTCCATTGACGAATACCGTTAGACAGAACTTAAGCAGTTGGTCACTCGAAATTCTCCTTCTTCTTTTCTTCAGAAAAACATCTTGAACATCGTCAAAAATTATGATTTATTATGATTTATGGTGTTCGCCCGTAATTAAAAAATTAAACGAGTAGAAAAAAATCAGGAACTGAATAATGGCAGGGGTCATCTAATCTAAAATCATCAGATTGTTTGTTGAAACGTGTACGCCACTTGACTTGGTCTCAATGCAAAGTCGTTTCAATAAATTCACGTGGTATCTAAGAAATTAAGATAGACATAAGATTATTATGGTAGCATTTTGCTTCAAATTCTTCTTCATTTTTCCTTCTCTAAATCTATATTATCCTTTTTTTTTTTTAGTTGTTTGAAGAATTAATGTACCTGCACAAAGTGACTATCTATATACTGAAAAAGACATGTCTGTGTACCATCAATTATGAAATAAAGTATAGTAGAATAAGTGTTCACGTAACTGCTGTCAAAGAAAAAATTAAACACAAACATGTGCTCTCTTTGACAATATTGACAAGGATCAGCAAGTGTTGACCTATTTCGAACAGTTTTTGCCGGGAATTTCTCGTGGACAGTCGACACACTCGTTTACTGGGACTTTGCAAAACGTATTAGCCTCATTTAAATTTATTAATAGCCTTTATACCATTACGTTCAACTATCAGAGTTGAATGTGCTATCAATTAAAAGACATAAAATCAAATAAAAATACTATCACGATAGAAGACAATAGTCAAGGTCGTTAACTTATAAATTTCATCAAAAATTATTCACCAAAATAATAAAAAGAATTACTACAATTATAAAAATTCTTCTATAATATATTAAACAAAGAATAATAGTCAAAGTGATCAACTTGTAAACTTTGTTCAAATAAAAAAAATAAAAAATATATAATTATATAAATTCTGCTATGGCATATTAATTAGAGAATAATATGGACTATTTTTCAATTGAGAAACTGTGTAATTTCATTTGTTAGGAAGTGGAGAAGATAGCCGGCTAGCACGCAATTCAGAACACGAAATTGTGGACGGGACGCGGCTTGTAAACGGGAACGATTAGCAGAGAAGAGGCTATTAGACTCGTTAATTTAGGAAATCAATTAAATTCTTTGTCATAAGTGGTAACCATGTGGCAAGAATCCCATTAAAATACTACGTGATGTGTTTACTGTTGTTTCAATACGTTATTCGCTCCATGTTGCCAGTCATAAGGCAGCAAGTGTTCTAATCATTCTGTTTTCCACTTTGTAAGACTGGAGTCTATACATTTCCTTTCGGTTAGTTAGCCACTGTGACTTAGCCAATAAAAATGTAAATTTCTCGCTTTACATTCTTTAACAAAAGATTAGAACTTGATTTTAGTGAAACTGAAATTGTTTAGTTATCATATTTGGAAATAGTATAATTGTCTTTATAAATATTTGTAAAGAAATTTTTCCCTTTCTCCGTTATAGTGCTATTTCAAAGCTTGTCGCAGCTTTTGCACGAGCATCTTATTTGGGTTAAAAGTTTCATTTCCTGAGCAGAACAGCGACTTTAATTTAAGTCTATAGTCGACGTGTCGCTCTACCTACATTCATCTCGCATGATCCTCACAAATTTTTATTTCTTCATTCTGTCTCTTTTACATATTCATCTGTTTTTAATTGATACTTATTAGAATTACTTAGTTTTATTGTTCAAATTTGCAAAAAGTTCTTTGCAATTCTTTTGACTCTTTTATCAACAGTCGATAAATACAATTACTCAATTTGCTGAAGATAATTTCTGCTAATACTAATTCCATATGGCGTTTCCTTTTTTCTGTAACTGTTTGCCCCTTTTTAAATACTTTGGATGTAATCGAACGTCTGAAGAATGTAACGAGTCCAATTAACACTTTGGTGACAACTTTTTTTTAAGATAAAACTTTCCGTTGCTAGGGGAAATCTGCTGGGGAATATTTTTTACTCAAGACAGCGAGCTTGTGTATAACTATATTAAGAAGGAATGCACACGAGTATCTTGTGTTTAAAGAGACAATTAGATCATGCTGTCAAGACATTTTCGCGAGGACGAATTTAATCCTATTAGCAAATCGCGAATGACGTGTACGAAAATTCTAAATAAAATAGCTATTCGAAAAATGAGAATTATTCTTCAAAACCATGAAATTTGACTCGTTATAGTGTTCTGTATCTTTGAATACCTTGACCCTAACTTTACCTACTTCATTCTTCTGTTTCATTTTAAATCGATGAAAATGTTGAATTATTATCATATGTTAGGATATCTAAAATATTTCTTAGGGCCACAGACTGAAAACAACCAAAGGTCCATTCGCTGTGAGATTATTTTTAGGTAGCCAGATAGAGGCTACCCCTTGATGCTGGCTAAAAATAGCCGGTAAGGCCAATCCAGCTCCAATTATTCCATTTAGGTATTTAGGTGACAATCGACTGACCGCCAATTTAGAAATATTCCACACGCTGACAGCACGGGGACCTCAGTCAGCGTTCTGGACGAATGCAAATAATATGTTGCCAGGACAGAAAAAGCATTCTGTAGTTCCTATTCCATTACAATAATATTGAAAGATGAAAAAATAAAAATTGTATATTCAACAATATAAACTCCAAACAATGTTCAACAATATTCAATCAAATGGGAGAAAGTTCAGAGAATATTACAATAAAAATGTCTAATTAGCAGATTCTGGATATTTATGCATTTACGTGAAATTTGCGATGTTTCACAAAATACACATAATGTAAAAAAATAATATGAAATATCCAAAGTGTATTGCTCTCTATAATGCTTGGCGAGTAAAATAATTTCCTATTAAAATTCTACCTTTTTAATTATATTCTCAACAATATGAATTTGTATAAAAACCCGTAGTATATTCATTAGAGAGAGCAGCGTAAGTATTGATTAACAAATTTAAGCAGTGTAATTATTAATTAACAAATGTATTCAGCACAAGCGCGAGGCACCCCTGCAGTATGCAACCGGTGTAACTTAGACGTTCGTTTGTTCGCAGAATTACGGGCAGCATGAGGCAACGTAAGACCGGCACGCTTGGCGCCGCGGCGCCTATGTCTACAGAAGAAGGATTGAAGTTTCAAGACAACAGGTTCTTGACGACATTAGTACTCGGGAGAAATAGGTGAGTACCATCATTGTTCTCATTTTGCTCGTGTAATTCGGAATTTCATCGACCCTCCCCACGTAGCAATTCGTTTCAATTGTGATTTTAGAAGGTTCGTTTTAAATTGCGTTGCATCGAATTCAAAAGCATTGACGGTTATTCGGTTATTTAATAATGATGGATTGTTGCGCGTGTGGTCACGTGACCGGTTTTGCTTACTGGAGAGTTGTCTAGGGATTTCTAATATCAACAGAACTTATTGAAATTTGAGATACATTCAAACTGTTGTTCGTTTCTAAAAAGCACAGACGTACCTGAAATTCTATTCACAATTGTTAAATTATAAAGCGGATAAAATTTTTACGAATCAATCTTAAAAACAATTATTAATATAAATTATTGAAATGTTAAATATTCGAATTGTTGTTTGTCATTGTCTATTGAAAGGTATTTGAAATTGTAACCATAGTTATTATAATTGTAAAGTCGATAAATTTTTATGAACTAATCTCAAAGGCGATTACCATATGTCTAGTTAAAGTGCCGATTTGATTTGTTTTCAGTTAATTTCTTGAATCGTCTGCATGCTTGTTAAAATTATATGTGCGACGATAAATTTAAACTTGGAAACGCTAAATTTAATCGCAATTTACGTTACAAATTAACGAGTGCGTTTAATGTCTTTCTAAATGAATTATTACGAATGGGCATGGTGAACACACGGAGACGTACTAATGGTTCGATGGCAAACAACGCAAGTTTTCTTAATGACGTAGTAGTACATCCATGATAATTAAAGTGTTTAAAGCTGCCAGCATGTTATATATATAGGATACGATTATGTACGCAAAAGTGCAAACATTTTGCAATATACATTGTTATTCCTCGCTATAACTTCCATTCCATAAGACTTTAAACACAAATTTTCAAATTTAAGATTATACTTCTGAATATGAAACTTTGGTGTTTAGATTATGAACAATCAAAATTTGGATTCAAATTAAAAAATTTGAAATATTTTAATCTGAAACTTGGGTATTTAAGTTTTGGTATTTAAATTTTGAAATTTGGAATTTTTTTAATAAAGGTTTATAAATGTGACATCTTCACATTTGCAACTTTGGTAATTAAATTTTGAAATCTAAAATTTTTTTAATCCAAGTTTAGAAATTTTAAACTTTGGAATGCAAGTTTCTAGGTTTAAAATTATACTTATATATATATATATATATATATATATATATATATATATATTTAAACCTAGAAACTTGCATTCCAAAGTTTAAAATTTCTAAACTTGGATTAAAAAAATTTTAGATTTCAAAATTTAATTACCAAAGTTGCAAATGTGAAGATGTCACATTTATAAACCTTTATTAAAAAAATTCCAAATTTCAAAATTTAAATACCAAAACTTAAATACCCAAGTTTCAGATTAAAATATTTCAAATTTTTTAATTTGAATCCAAATTTTGATTGTTCATAATCTAAACACCAAAGTTTCATATTCAGAAGTATAATCTTAAATTTGAAAATTTGTGTTTAAAGTCTTATGGAATGGAAGTTATAGCGAGGAATAACAATGTATATTGCAAAATGTTTGCACTTTTGCGTACATAATCGTATCCTATATATATAACATGCTGGCAGCTTTAAACACTTTAATTATCATGGATGTACTACTACGTCATTAAGAAAACTTGCGTTGTTTGCCATCGAACCATTAGTACGTCTCCGTGTGTTCACCATGCCCATTCGTAATAATTCATTTAGAAAGACATTAAACGCACTCGTTAATTTGTAACGTAAATTGCGATTAAATTTAGCGTTTCCAAGTTTAAATTTATCGTCGCACATATAATTTTAACAAGCATGCAGACGATTCAAGAAATTAACTGAAAACAAATCAAATCGGCACTTTAACTAGACATATGGTAATCGCCTTTGAGATTAGTTCATAAAAATTTATCGACTTTACAATTATAATAACTATGGTTACAATTTCAAATACCTTTCAATAGACAATGACAAACAACAATTCGAATATTTAACATTTCAATAATTTATATTAATAATTGTTTTTAAGATTGATTCGTAAAAATTTTATCCGCTTTATAATTTAACAATTGTGAATAGAATTTCAGGTACGTCTGTGCTTTTTAGAAACGAACAACAGTTTGAATATGTAATATATACTTATATATATATATTTATAAATTCGTAATTTTGTGATCACGAACTTTGAAGATTGAAACTTTCAAGTTAAAATTTTTTATAAAATTCCTAGTATATTTTGTGAATACTTACCATGGTAATATAACCTAATCGATGCATAATGGTAAAATCTTCAATTTGTCTAGTTTCAACGATAGTGCTGTCCAAAAAGCCACCTGTATTAGAAGCCGTGAGCCAGATCACTGCTCTCTCAACATTTATCAAGCTCTTTTATATCACCCACAGGATTTGATCGCATTAGGTCATTTGTCATTTCAAAAGTAAAGAACATCGACAATAGATCTTTTTGCAAATACTGAAATCTAATATCTCCACGTAGCTATTTGATCGCCTACCATTTAATTGAATTTTTTAATCGTGTCGATTGACACGTCCTGATATTGATATCGATAACTCGAAAGATACATTCGATATTGTCATTTTCTTTGTCCTTTCATTTTCATATTGTCATGTTCTTTATCCTTTATATACTTTCTTTTATCCTTTTTTCCCATAAAAACACACCAATTCTATTCTTTGATTTCCTATCCTTTCCTAAACTTTCAAATTTTACAATTTTCCGTCTATTTTCTTCTTAACACGTTGACTACCACGCTGGTCATGAGTCACCTACATTACCAAATTTCTTAGAGCAATTAAAGTAAGATAAATTTCATAAACTAACAAACTGTTAATAACGTGAATGATTAAAGTAACTAGGTTGCGAATTTTTTGTCCTTTTATATAGAAAATTTGTTATAATATTCAATGGATGAAATAAATTTCTACTTAGATTTCATTTGTTTAATTAAATTTACAAAAATACGAATTCGCAATAAAAATCCGCAGTCTGTAAATAATATTGTTAGAAAAAATGTGTGCAAATACAATAATTAACAATTTAATTTTACAAAAATTAAATATTATGCCATAGTATATTTCGATCTGTTGTGGTTCCTAGGTCAAGATATAGGAAATTCGTGCGACAATCAACGTATTAACCTATTCTTTCATTTTTCATCTTTGTTTTCTTCGACTGTGCCGCGATTGGCATCCCTGTTTCTCTTTCCCGCTCATTTCTTTGATTCTCTCTGTCTTTTCTCCTTTCCTCTTTCTCTATTTAACTTGCTTCTCGATATACGCGCGAACAATGATGAAAGCACTTCAATTACTAATCGCGACGAGCGTGCCGAGTTTATGGTGGGACTTGGACAGACGGGCCAGGATTAACCTTAATATCGCGGTCACGTATCACGCGACTCTCGTTCTCTCTCGCCGAAAAAATCTTTTCAACTGTTGTTCGACAGTAGTGACGGATTCCGCGCACCAGACTGCAGTGCTTATGTCGGATAAACTTTAATCCTCGGCTATTCGACACTTACGTGAGTAAACCCCCGATAGAAATATCACAACAGGAAAATATCACAAAAGTCAACTTTAGAAAGGTCACACAGCTTGATTTTATTTCGATAATTTCTTTAATGTAGTTCCACCCACGTAATGAAATCGTCTAAATAAAAATGGGGCCAAAGTGACATTTAAATTTCCCTCCATATTTTGGTTGATATACATCGTGCATTCTAAAGAGGACAGGGCATGTCGCAACAGGGTTAGAAAAAGGTCATACAGCTTAATTTTATTTCGATAATTTTTTTAATGCAGTTCCATCCACGCAATAGAATCATTTCGATAGGAATGGGGCTAAAGTGACATTTAAATTTTCCTCCAATTTTTGGTTAATATACAATGTGTGCTTTAAAGAGGAGACGTTGGAGTATTGTAGTGTTTCTAATACATATTCTACAGTGTATAATACATTCGCTATGGTATGTAAGTGAAGTAAAAGTTATTTTGTGTTCCATAGAGTGGATTTTTAATGAATTTGTTTAAATAATGGAAATGGCAATGGGGAAAGTACTGGGAAAAAAGTTATTCTAGAGTAAATTGTTCTGAATTAGAATCTATTCGTTAATGCGGTTCCACCGACGTAATATAATCATTTTAACAGAAATGGGGCTAAATTACATTTAAATTTCCCTGTAATTTAATAAAATTTTTCATTTTCTGGTTGACACACAATGTGAACTTTAAAGAGATGATGTTGGAGTATTGCAGTGTTTTTGGTACACTTTCTATAGAGTATCATATAATGTATCAATACACTAGCTATGGTATGTATGTGAAATAAGAGTTATTTTCTATTCCTTAGAATGGATTTTTAATGAGTTTGTTTAAATAATGATAATGACAATAGCGAAAGTACTGAAAACAGAAAGAAAATTCTTTTAGGATCAGCAAATTGTTCTGAATTAGAATTTATTGCTCGTGTAGTTGGTTTCTCTAAGAAAGACCAATCGACTTAATGAATCAGATTGGGGCTTGCGTAGGTTGCGTCGACGCTTTGTCGACGCATTTATTTTGACAACATTACATGTAATTGAGACTTAATAAACACATTGTCATTGCCTCCTTAATACAGTCTGTCCCTAATTCGTGCATTGTTTACCGAAACAAACCTTTAAACAAACTCCAACATATCTTCTCGATCAAATATTTGTAATTCTATTTTAAATTAAATATACAAGATTTTTAAAAAATGTTTACAGCTAGCAGATTCTTAGCTTTGTTGTGGCTCTTGAATTTTCTATTCTGCTAGTTTCCTAGAAATAAATATTATATTTAAAATAAATATTATAATAAAATGTAGATATTACAATTTTTAATATTTCATAAATATGATTTTACCATTTCTTGGGTGATTTCCGAATGAATCGAAAATAATCCAAAGATCACAGTAGGGTTAAATAAATTCTTTGGATTTTTATGATTATTCAGAAGTTCTTAGCCATAAAAAAACACCAATGGATAAACAATAACCCAAAGATCGCAGTAAAGTTATAAAAACAGATCCTTCTTTATGAAACATGAAATTTTTCATTAAATTTTAGGAAAATCTCGCCAGACGTTTTGCCGTCGTGTTCCCCGGGTATTTTCCGGCAAAAGTCGTTCGGCGCGTCGACACCGCCGAAGAACAACGCGGGCGCACCTGCGGCGAAAAATCATCAACGCGCAGGCGCGGAACCGCGAGATCCACGTGAGCCGAAAGCACCTAACAGCGGTAGCGCACGTTTAAAGAGCGGCGTGTTACTTCTCGCGCGGGGCACCCGAGGCACCAGCAAGCACGCACGTCTTGGCACGACGCTGGCGAACAAAATGGCGTCCTCGAGCTCTACCACGGTCGTGCAGGGCTGGCCGAACACCAAGGACGACTATGAGCTCAAAGAGGTTATTGGTGAGTAATCGTTACCTCGCTATTTCCCTCATCCACTACAACTACAAAAGCATTTATGAGATTTTTCAGAATACGGATCGACATCATGATACTCTACCGGGTCCCGAATGAATAGCTACTTCTGCTTCTTGACATTATGCACACAGAAAGTTATTTGGCTCATTAAGTGAAACATTACTTAAAAACGCGACGTTTTGAAATTGAATATGTTGAAACATTGATGATTTTACGATCGTCAATAATGAGGTTTAAATTGACGCATTGTCCCCGTCTGCGTTTACGCGGCTATCTCTCTCACACCTATGTTTAAAGTCTACTGTCTCGCTCGCTCTCAACCAAGGCACGTATACCGGTGCCCGATACGTCCTAACCTAGTTAACTTGCTTGAGAAACGGATCCAGCAATTTTTAACGTAATATATATACGTAGAATACTCGCAAAAGCTCTCCAGATATATTTATAAATTGTCGTAGATAGAATTATTACTAGCTTTTTTAAAGATATCATTACCTCGAATATATTTTTAAAATAATTAATTATTTTAACATTTTGCTTCTAATGAGTGTTTCAAATGATTAACTACCTTAAAGTTTTAATGTAACTCTTGTATAATAATTTGTTGCAGTATTAAAAATAGAGTTTTGAGATATTTATTCTGCTATTTATATTAGAACTAGAGCTTTTTAAGAACATCTTTCAATAAATCATATTTCAATAAATCTTTAAAATGATTATTACTTTAAGGTTTTAATACAGCTTTTATACATACAATAACTTTTGAAGTATAAATATTAAATATTAATTTTAATTTAATGTTGTTATTAAATTGATTCAATTAATTGATACACAAATTTCCGTATAAAAAAGTCTTTTTACATTTATAAACCTGTTAATTAAATAATACATTTTTTCCTTAAAAAATTAAAAACTTAAAAACGGGGTAAAGAGATGTAATTTGAAAAGTACGTACATATCCTGCGTCAGTATACTACAGAATGCTACGTCATGATAGCGACACGACGTATGATGACGTATAATTACGTCATCGACTGTTCGATTCAACCTATACAATATTTTATTGCAGAAAATTTTTATATTCTTCATTTAAAATTGTGTATTATAATAATTCGTTTTATTTCAGGTGTTGGTGCAACCGCCGTAGTACACGCGGCATTTTGCATTCCTCGACAGGAAAAATGCGCGATCAAGAGAATAAATTTGGAAAAATGGAACACAAGCATGGACGAACTTTTGGTAATTTCTTCATTACATATTATTGAGGAAGAATTAGAAAAATTATTTGATAATATACATTGAACTATGGAAAAAAACATAACTACTCAAAATATTAAATTATTTAAAATCTCTTTTTGTTAACAGAAAGAAATACAGGCAATGTCCTCGTGCAATCACGAGAATGTGGTCACATATTACACGTCATTCGTCGTGAAAGAAGAGCTTTGGCTCGTACTCAGGTTGCTAGAAGGTGGATCCCTATTGGACATCATCAAACACAAAACCAGAACTACAAACTGTAAACATGGAGTGTTTGATGAAGCTACAATAGCAACAGTCTTACGAGAAGTACTCAAAGGCCTTGAATACTTCCATAGTAATGGGCAAATCCACAGGTATATTATTAATTTCCTTTTAGATTTATGAAATTGTGTAAGGAAAAGTAATTCGCAACGTTTAAATTGCAAAGTATCTTGGATATTCTTATTTTCCTTAAATTCTTACTGTTTTCTAATATTATTCAGTGTTTTAGTGCATTGATATTAACTCTCCATGGATATACTGGGTTGTTTATATCCAAGCACGTTTATATCCTAATTTTATTACTTTTCTAGGCTTCCAGAGTATGATGAAATTCTGAAATACTTATTGATGTCTCTACTACACTATACAATCAGTTTTTACGTCATATATTTAAAAAATTTTCTAATAAAAATAATTCACAAATGACTCAGGTTGCCGATGGAGGGTTAACATGTTTTTATTTGTAAAAAATTTTGTATTGGACTTCTTTAATTTTTGAAGTAATTAAAAAATTTTGGAGATCAGTTATAGAAATAATAATTTCTAATGAAGTGCAAACTGAATGTATTTGATTCTCTGATAATATATAGACAAATTTTAATAACAGAATAATATTAGGGACATAAAAGCCGGTAATATCCTACTAGGAGAAGATGGCACCGTGCAGATAGCCGACTTCGGTGTCAGTGCCTGGTTAGCGACTGGTCGAGATCTAAGCAGGCAAAAAGTCAGACACACGTTTGTGGGCACACCCTGCTGGATGGCACCCGAGGTCATGGAGCAGGTGAGAGAGGAAAGTAACATTACATCTTCTTAGCCTGCGTTTTTGGTGTCCATATTTATATTTTCTGTTCAGTAGGCTTCTTGAAATTGCATATCTTTATTTCATAGAGATTAATATCTAGTACTAACCTAATAGCTAGTTCCTTTTTCATAACACATATCCAATTCTCACAAGACTACTCTACCTTATTTAAAAAATTCTAAATTCAATCTTTGGGTTTCTTAATTTTTGTATGTTCTCTTGAGCATGTAAATTGTGTAACAATTATTTTATTTGTCCATCAGATTATTTATTATTAACTACAAAATCTTTTCTTTAATATTACTAATATAAAAGGCATGTAACTGTTTGGAGCAGCATGATTGGATCCCGCTATTGGCATTCCAATTTAATGCGTACATTGTAAAATCAATTATGATATGCAAATATCCTTGCAGGACCATGGCTATGATTTCAAAGCAGATATTTGGTCGCTTGGCATCACTGCCATCGAAATGGCCAGTGGTACAGCTCCATACCATAAGTATCCTCCAATGAAGGTGCTGATGTTAACTCTGCAAAATGACCCACCAACTTTAGATACTGCCGCCGACGATAAAGACCAATACAAAGCCTATGGAAAAACATTCCGGAAAATGATTGTCGATTGCTTGCAAAAAGACCCAACAAAGAGGTTAATTTTACTGGAAAAATTATTCTATTAATCTATTAAGGGCCAAACAATAGTAATAAATTGACTGAAACAAAATTGCAAATGAAATGTTGGTTCTTCGTGGATTAAAGAAACTGAAAAATTATACAATAAATATTAAAGGAGAATAATTTTACAGACCAACAGCAACAGAACTGCTGAAACATCCATTCTTCAAAAAAGCAAAGGATAAAAAGTATTTGCAGCAGACTTTGGTAGCTTGTGGTCCTAGTCTCGAAACTCGAGTACAAAAGGTATATTTTTTCCTTATTAAATTTTTATAAATCAATAGTTTATAATTTATATTTATACTTTATTATTTTTGTATTTATTCCAGGCTTCAAAGAGACAACCCGGCACATCGGGTCGTCTACACAGAACAGTTACAGGAGAATGGGTTTGGTCTTCGGAAGAAGAAGACAGTAGCGCGTCTAGTGGCGATGAGGGAAAAGAAGCTCTGCCGGTTAACACGATCGAAAATGCATCTAGTACCGAAGAGGAACCAGAAGAGGAGTTTTATGGACAAGTGAAGTCAGCACGAAGTCACATTGTTGTGCAAGCCACCGAGCCGAATGTTCCCATAAACTTGGTGCTAAGATTACGGTATATCGTTTTAATTATATTTTACCATTTTTTAATTTCAATACTATATTCGCAATCTTTTCAAATTTCAAATTTCAAGGCCGCTGATAAAGAATATGTTAACTCGCATTTCTCGCCTTTTATAATAAAGCAATTTAAAAATTCAAGATATTCAACCAATTCCACATCAAAATTGAAATGAATGTATCATATTTGTCTCATGTGGTCTTCATTTGTCACAAAATATTCATTTCAGAATTAAAACATTTTCTCTCCTACAAATTTTTATTTTCTTTTTCACTTATTTGACGTTATTATATTTTTATTACAGACGTCCTGAAACCCATTTCACCCTTGAAGACAAATCCGAGTACGTTCCTACCCAATTCCTAATCTTTCACAGCTATTGCTAACTTAATCTTTTTCTCATAATAAAAAACATTTTAATGAAGATAGTGCCTAAATTGTGATTTCCTATTGAATAGAAAATCGTTTCCTGTTTAGAAACCAGAAACGAGAGCTTAACGACATCAGATTCGAATTCGCTGTTGGAGTAGATTCTGCCGAAGGAATCGCGGCGGAGCTAGTTGGTGCAGGGTTGGTTGACGGCAAGGATATCGTCGTGATTGCTGCAAACTTGCAAAAACTCATAGACAGTGCCGGCCAGTTGCGGACTGTAACGTTTTCACTGGTAAACCTTCTTCCATAGCAACATTTTGAGGCTAGGAAGATCAAACGATAGTTCAATGTAAATGACATTGTTTCAGAATTCTGGTCATGCAGCGAACGAAGTGCCGGACGACAAGGCATTAATAGGATTTGCTCAGATCTCCATCACCGATTAAAGCAACACACGAAAGTTCTCGAAATCTCTCAGGATACCATTCTTAAACGTCAGTTCAGAGAATGGAAAGTATCAAAAGCTGATGGATTCTCTCGATATCTGAGAATTTGAGAAAAAAGATTTACCAACTCTTAAACTCAATTCTACCAAAAACAATTCTACCATTCGTTTTTTGCTTTCTCACGGCTTTTGCTACTTTCACTTCTTTAGTTCTAACCATAAACATATGAAATACAAACTACGAGTGCCAAATGAAGAGTGTGATCCGTATTGGAAAAGAAATGCCTAGCCCTCAGTTGATATTGTTGGATTATAGGAAACAAAGGTTAATTTTAAGTCTGATTATATTTAGTTTTAAAATATTTAATTTAGATTTGTGTATTTTATACTTTGCACGATATATGTTATTGATGGTCTTTATGACGTAAAATATACCATAAAAATTAGCGTGGAATATTCTGAAATTAAGTAACTAATCCTAAAGTTTTGTAGGTCAACTACAATCGAATAATACCAATTGAGGATTAACGCGGTCATCCTTTCCCTTTCTAGCAGATATTTATTTCTAGCAGATAAAAAAGGAAAGAGAGACCTCGTTATTAATTTCCATCTCTTTCTCAATGAACCCCATTTTCTCAATAAGGCATTCGCGGTCTGTACTTCTTACATACATGGTTCAGAAAAATACAGGACAATGAATAGAATTCATTTGTTGATGGACTGCTTGGATGCACATTCAAAGCTACATGCAGAACTATCAGTCTTATGAAAATAGAGAATAGATTATGAATGCTGATATTAATAGGAAAAAAGAAGCTGACAGAAAATAATCAAGGGTAGTTCGCGATGAGCTTCTGTGGTGAAAAAGTATTGATCCAATTCTGCCAACTGTTCGGTTCTGAACCTGCGAAGATAGAGGAGAAAACAATATAGTACTGGCTTAAGTTTTCACTTGCTCTAATCATTAATGGCTGTAGTCTCATATATTCAACCTATATCACTCATATTATTGCATTAATTCCTGTGTAAATATTAATAGTCGATGAATTCCTCGAGGAGTTTAGGTTTATCCGGCTCGCATAAGCGGGCATGACAGAATTTCAAATAACTAAGTGAACGAGTGGCGAACTGTCGAAAGGTGCTTAAAAACACATCTGACTTACTTATTTGAAATGCCAGACAAACAAATGATATATATATCATATATCATTGGATATATACACATAAATTACTATGATCACGTGAATATATATATATATATATACATATACATACATATATATATATATATATATATATATATGTATATGTGTATATTCTTTTTAGTCTTTCTTGAAAAATATGCGCAATGGTCGAATGCATATCGTGTACTAGAAGAAAAAAACGAAAAAAAGAGAAAGCGGGAAAAAAGCAGTCGTCAGTCTTTCCTCCTGTACGATGTAAAGGTCGTTTAGCGTATTTCCTTATGCTTCACGTTACAGGATCGTAGAACACGCGAAAGTACTAAAGAAACGTGTTTTGTACTTAATTAAATAGAATTAACGAATAGTGGATTTATTATTTTGTAGCTTCATTAGAAACAAACGGTTGAGAAATGGAAAATTATGATTCACACGTCTTTATCGGTGATTTTAAAGAAAAGCACTCATAGATACAGGTTCTAGGAATGGTTTGTAATAACCCTTTGAGGTCTTATTTTCTGGTCAGGCTTGAAATTATCTATCATTGTTCAATAATTTATAAGTAAAAGAGAAAACTTTTCATGATATATCCAGTACGTATTGTTTCGTTAATAATATAATATTAATATTCATTCTCTTTTGTTCATTGCATACTTTTATTTACTAAACTGTAGCTATATTTTAAAAATCCGAAATAAGTGGTCTCGAGACTTAATAGTGTATTGATTTTGATGTAAAAAAATTGCCTGATGAGACATAAACGACGTAAAGGGTTGTAAATTAGATTGTGTTGGAATCACATTAAATAGAATGAAATAAAATATAAGCGTAACTAATTCTGCATATGATTGATAAAACCGTGAAAATGTATGTGAATTATACAGGGCAAATAAATGATCGTAATTAGCTTGTTTTAAAATAATGTGATTCTGGTGTTAAGCGAGTTTCTGATCCACGTAGTGACTCTTGTAAGATTGATAAAGGAAACAAATATTTTTCGCAATATTATAAATATATCGATAAATGAAGATGATGGTACATAGAAATGGAAATATTTATTGCTTGGAAAAACAATACAAAAAGGAGGTTTCAAATGAAATAAAGCCTAGAATTATTCTAACGAATGAATAACATTTTTTAATTAAAATAGAATTCCTTTATCTATTGTAAAAACGTTTAACGGTAGATTTTTATAAACCACTTGCAAAATACAAAATTCCTTTGTATTTCACGAGAAAAATTGTCGTATTTGCTTACAAGTAAAAATTGTTACGGAAAAACTATTGATGCTTGTTAACTCCTGTTTGATTTCATTTTCTTTTTGCAGTAATGCGTATCATTAAACAAGAGCAATGCATTTTAACACAATTGACCGAGAAATAGTTCTGTCCAACGATTCTTTATTTTTATAGAATTATTAGAAAGAATTTAATTGTTTGTGAGAAATGGATAATCAAACTTGAATAAAGCAATTCATAACTTTTGAACAGATTTATTACACCTTGATATCATTCAAATGCTTTAAGTAGTAAAACATTTTTGTTGGCTATTGCTACGTAAAAATTAATTAAACATAATTTTTTGGTATGAAGTAAGAAAGGTTAGAATATACATATAAAACAATAATATAACTCATATTAAATATCATAAACGAGGAATGAGGAAAATAATTTATTTTACTTCTAGTATACAAATTTATTGAAGACTACGAAAAAATAGAATGTTTGTTTAAGAGAAATGAAGAACTTCCTTACTCTTACGATGTTCGGCGCTTACTGTGGATTGCGGAACAGAGCTACCAAACGCACATGCACGTAGCTTACCGCGAATTACTCATAATGGTTCAAATTTTTGAACTTCTTTTCATTATTAAATGACTCTTACATAATTTTTCTTCTTGTATTTTATTGTAATAATATATTTTATTGTACAATATTGTAATTTATTCTTTATATTTTGATTTTCGTTTCACATTTTCCTTCTAAATAACTTTATTCTACCAATTTGTAATTTTTGTACAAATGAAATATTTTGTTATAATTATTTTGTAGCTGAAAAATGTTTCAAATTAAATTATTTAATAATATAATGAATTTTCTTTCAAGAAACACATGTTTAAAATAAATTCTAAGCACTACTACCGTCTTTACTGTGCATGCGCGCGGCTGTTTGAAATACAAACGTTCTGAAGCTTCTATACTTTCATTCCAGTTCTGATACAGTGGGCTCCAGTTAAACGACACTCAATGTACCGCAAAACAATTGTTTATTTCATTGTTCTAAAAAATGATTCAGTGAAAAAATGTAATATACAAATGAAAATTTCAAAAAATTCGTATTATCAATATTTTTCTATTTCATAGTGTAACCAGTAGATATTTGTGTGTTTTAAAAAATTGGTGAATGACAATAAACAAAATTATATAGTGAAAAATATTAAATAGAAAAACAAAAATTCTATTGTGAAAATGGCAAAATTTTTAGCTACGATTAAAGCGATAATTACGCGACTGGTTTTCGCATCTCATGGCTTTATTGCAATTTGGCAAGTAACTACGTTTAAAAAGAATCCTCTATTTTGGTACTTGAGTTGCCCAATTTTGTTACTGTTTTTCGAAGGAATTTTCACGCTTACTATAAAGGAAAATCAAGAATGGAAATGGTAAGTAACGGAAATTTATTTATTAATTATTTAATTATTTTTCCATCATTTTAATTACATTTGTCGTGATTGAAAAAACACAAATAATAATTTACACCGAAATAATAAATAAATAATAATATTAAATACTAACAAATTTCTTCAAATAATATTCCTTTTATTAACAAAATTTAATAAGAAATATTTAGGGATTATATGAAATAAAAATTACTATATAAACCTTCTATGTATAAATAATAATGATTATAACATAATAAAATACATTTTTACTAGAAAATAGAAATAACTTAAATAGATATTAATTATACGTATATATAAATACTCAAATCTAATTTCCAAATATATTTTGCGAATATTTATACATAAACATTGCTTTATATATAAGACAGAAAGAATAGTAACCAAATTTAAGTTCTCTAATGCAACAATCTATACGCTAAAACAAACCTACTTTCCTCCGGGAAGGAAAGGGTGTGTTTTTGTGGGTCCGTCTCAGTTTGACAGTCGGAAATTGGAGCATTAGTAATAAGAGCGGGACGAGACACAATCCACTATACGTCGAAAATTATCGATATACAGAAAGAGCTGCGTAACAGTGACCTCTTTTTCTAATATCCTTTACCATTCATATCATATGATTGATCGACTGATTCCTTGAAAGTCGTATTTTTTACTATTCCCGAAGACGATCAATATATTAAATTAAGAAAGAGTGCAATTACAAAAGAAGATAATCTTTACTATCTCAAACTTAATTACACCATAATTTTCACTCTAATTGACGAACATTTTGTTTATTATGTATTATAGTTTTAAGGAACATTATCGTTAACTACCCTGTTTTACTAACGGAGTAGAAATACAATAAGTTAATATAATATTTAAAATTTCTTTTTTCTGAAGGTTCTGTCCTTCCGTTTTCTTGTACCTAAGCAGTGTAGTTCCAGCGATATGGCTTCTGGAATTAGATAAGGTCGATAGGAGAATGAAAACGTTCGAAACGAACGTGAACATATCCGAAAATTTCGATTTAACCAACCTGGCAGCTGAAGATTTGAAACACTTAGAAAAAGCATTTGGTGTAGGTTCAATTCACATTATTTTATTCACAATATTGTAAACTATATGTACATATAACTAAACCTCGTTTTGGGGCACATCGAATTTGCAATGTTTTTTATAAACAGAAAGGAAATTTTCTCTCAAAACAAAATTCGAAGTTATCAATTTTAAGGCACGAATATCACTATTTTAAAAATTATGCGCACATATGTACTGAGAGGTCGGTATCACAGTGGTGACTTTGCCGACCAACTATTTCTTAACACACATAGTGACATATGGTAACTAGAAAACTGTGCAATATGCATGAGCTTAATATATATATATATATATATATATATATATATATATGTATTATTTTTAAAATAATGATTTCCACAGGACCAAATTAAAGTTTCTGAGGCTTGAAACTATAGACTTCTTGTAAGTTGAATTCTTCGGTTCTTTTGAGATAGATGAATGGTTTATTTGTAATAGTAAAATAAGATGTATTTTTCTTGAATAGTGCAGATCGCAAAGAGACGATGCTGTGGGCTATAACCTCTTTTAATCCATCTATCTCCATGCTGCGGAATTAATATTTTTTTTATAGAAAAAATTACAAATTTGTATACCCCAAAATGAAATTCAATAATTATATCATATTGTTATAAAACTTCGCAATTTATTCCTATAAATGTGATTATTTTATTATTATAAATGCACTGTAACTTATCATTTAGGTAAATATAAATCTACCTGACATAAAAATATCGACAGAGACCTGGGTAACTTTGATCGAGCAGTTTCTGATGTTAATTCTGATCATTGGAAGATGGATGTTACCAAAGGGAGAGTTAACCAGAGATCAACTAAGTCAATTATTATTGGTTTACATTGGTACAGCAGCAGACATCATTGAATTTTTCGATTCCTTTAAAGAAGACCGCATAGCTCGCGAACCCGTTTTAGTATATTTGACTTTAGGAATTTGGGCGTGGTCCTTGATGCAATTTACAGTCGTCCTTACAGCCACCAAGTCCCGAAAATCTAGACTGTCTTCTGGTAACGCCGTTAAAAAGAGAGCGCACACTGAAACTAGTTGCTGCAGCATTGATGTATGGGGAATTGCATTGAACATGCTCCTACAGGTCTGTTTTATTTATTAGAATATTTTTCGTGGCAACTCAATACAAAATCTCAAATTTTAACCGAAAATTCCTGTCGGTTCACGAAAAACCTTCTCTCAAAATTTTTTTGAACTTTTACGTCTTCAGCAGGAAACTGAAGATTTTATGTCTTTCAAAATATTACAGGATGGACCATTCCTTTCATTCAGATTGATTTTAATCGTCCACTATCGCATAGTCAGCTACATGAACATTTTCTTCACGTGCAAGAATACTTTAGTAATACTGCTGCAACTTTACCGATTGTACGTTGTGCAGACGGAGAATCGAAGCAAGATAAAGAAGAAATCTGAAGTACCTAGCATCAGTATCATATCGAAAGAAGATATGTACAAAGATGTAAAAAGTAAAAGGATTTCTGAAGAAAGAAGAAGAAAAAGAAGAAGAGACAAAGATATAGAGGCTAATTATTCAGACAGTGAGGAAACTACGGAAGAAGCAGATAAATTTGATTCCTCTCCTAGAAATATTCGTCATTCCAGAAGGTTTAAAATACATAAATGAATAATTAAAAATTACCTATTAATTTATTGACTAGTAAATTTTCAAATTTATTATCTGGAAATTTTATAATTTTATAGAAAAACGCGCCAGGACACCGGATATTCCACATCTAGCTCCAAAAATTCTGGAAGACATCGAAAATCTCAGAGAGGTGATAGCAAAAAAAAATCTTCACGTGAAGAAAGCACAAAAATTGAAATTTCCAGTGATGAAGACAAACGTAGAAAAAGAATTGATAAAAGATCGTCGGTGAAGAGGGACAGGAAGTTATCAGAGAGTATTAAAATGAAAACTAGGAACGAGGATTCTAGTAAAAGTTCAAGCAAAAGCCGGAAGTGCAAAGACGACAGCGAAGAAGATGAATCGACAACAGAAGAAGTAGCTGATAAAATAGTTAGTCAAGAAAGTGAATCAGAATCAGAAAGAAAAAGGTAAATAAATTAATAAATTACCAAATATATAACAAAAACTTTGGCCACTTCAATTTATAATAAAATAAAGAAAATTAATTATAAAGCAAAAAATAATATTATTCACAGAACATTCATTATATTTAGGAACTATTACAATATGAAATTGAACACTTGATTATTTAATAGGAATTTGTAATAAAAAAATAATTTTTACATAGTAGCAATTAATATGGATATAGATTATACTATTTTTTATATATAGTTAGAAATGTATTAAGTATAGATATTTTTCTGAAAATTTTGGGAATATGTTGCATTACTTTTTGTACAGGTATGTTCATAGGAAGCGACGTCAGAACAGAGACTGACAACGATGCCTCGGCATAATCGCCCTCCTGTTTGTGTACTTTGCGATCCTCGTTATTTGCATGATTTTTATATACGCCGGGATCAACGATGGTATTGTATTAACCACAAGGGCAAAGAAAATAGTCCTTACTAATTAACCCTCTGCACTTTTTATGAAAGTATCACAAAAAGTTCAAAATTTTATCTCTTATAAGCACTTTTAGTCTTTTAATCTATTTTCATATTATGATTGATTACTAAAACAATATATTTATTAAAATATATTTGAAGTTAAAATTGAAGTGCAAAAAGTTAAGAACAATCAAGATTGATTTTATTTAGGTTCAGCACCCTACCAGCGTAAATTAAGTAGTTTGAACGTGTTCTAGGACACTAAGATGTTATTTTAATATATAAACGCGACTAATAATTAACTAAACGCTGCTTGACATATGTAAATCGTATGAATAAAGATATTTCTACTATTTTCAGCTTTAGTTAATGAAAGTGATAGTAAAGGAACAAAAGTATATTCTTTGCACACCTAGTTCACTCTTACTCTAATTAAAATATTGATTACAACGATTAAAGAAGAAAAGTATTTGTGTATACATAAAATTAAGTGGAAGAGATGGTTAAAATCTATGAAATACAAATTCGTTGGAGTTTCATCGCAAAATTAAGAAACCTTGCAATGCTTCTCTGTATGACAATAATTCATACAATTAAATCCTTGCAACTTTCTAACCATTGTATGCTCTGAACGCCGTCTAAATTATCGATATAATTAGCCAAATCGTCTTGGTGAGTTCCAGTAGCGGCGCAATATAACATGGCGGTATTCTCCAACAATTCTTGTAAAGATTGTGTCTTCACAATAGCTGAATCTACGCTATTATTCACCATCAGAATGCTTTCTTTCTTTTCCAAGTTCATTATACTTGATTGTCCCCTTTGAACAATTTCCACTTGTTTAGGAACTTCAATTTTTCTATCAGATGAAATTTCTCCAATTGTCTGATCAATTTTAAACAATGACTGTTTATTTGGAATCCCCAAAGACTGTCTCTTCTCATTGGAATTACTTTTTAGGTCTTTCAGCTTCTCCACAGTTAAATGAAACCGCCTCCATTTTCCCTGAGGAAAAGTTATATTCACATTTCTGTCCATAAAACTCTCTTGAATACTTTGTTTGGTATTTTCTTCCTTATTACAGAGCTCTTTAACTCTAATGTTCTTTACATTGGTATAGGGTATCTGGTTTTCTATAGCTGGCTTTTTTAAATTACTTTTATTGTACTCAGAAAGAATTTTTGCTATTTCTGAAGCTTCTCCAGTGCACCAGGCCTTACTCATGCCGCCAGACATGGTTTTTAAGTTCAACTGTTTGCTAGTAGTTTCGTAACATATTTTCTTTTCCATAGAATTTGATTCTTTTCCAAACTGAATTTTATTCTGTTGCATATTATCTAAAAGATGTTTTGTCATTGTGAATTCCACTTTGTTTCTTTGCTTTACAGGAGCCTGTTTCACTGTCATCTCTTCACTGGATACATTCTTATATATAGAAGTCACTTCTCCTAACGTCTCTTCACTGGCTGAAGATTCTTCCATTCTGCTCACATTTATGGTACTAGTACTTGGGTTCAAAAGTTGTGTCTCCTTTGTGTCTAAAGGGTTTACTATGATAAAAGGGCTCTTGGAAGGTCGTGCCATTTCTTGAATCTTCATATGCCCTCCTTGAAAGGTTTTTGCATTAGTGAACGCAATGGATTTCTGAGGATTGGCTATATAAACCTTCTGAGCAGGAAATAAACGTGTTTTTGGAACCTGAGTAAAATTCTTCACATTTTGTGGGAACATCGTGATTGCGTAATTGTCCATGAATTTGTTCTCTTCCACTGGTTTCTGTAAATTCTCCTTAAAACTTAAGACAGAAGAATCACTTTTGGAGCTGCGTTCTAGTGTGTTTATCGCCGAAGAATGCTGTTCTATTTCCTTGCTAGTGTTGGATAAATTTTTGCTCTCGTTTAACATGCTTATTTTCCCTTCTACATTCGTTTTGTAACTTGGCGTCATTATTTGAGAACAGTAACCAAGAACACAGTGGAAACTTTCATGCATGCAAGTTTCAAAAGATTTGTTCTTTTCAGTAGACTCTAAAGAGACTGATTTTGCACCTTTGGAATTGGAAGAGCCTTTGTTAGGCTTGATCTTTTTGGTTCGTTTTTTTTCAGCAGATGATGGGAGGTAGTCACAATGGGGATCCACGGATACCACTTCTATTTCCGGTCTGTCGATTATTTCTCGGTAAGAGAATCCGTCTAAGCTTGTAAAGTAACGGCCCAAATATTCTGCAGCCAGGCCAACCTGAAAAATATATTTAGTTAGTTGAAAAACATCACGAATTATTATTTACTCGAAAACATGTTCATTTTTAATTCGAAATTTCATTTAAATTTCGAAAATATTACGAATATTAAAATATACAAAGTATTACAAACATTACAGATCGTATAAATAGTAAAATGTTAAAATACAAAAATTTGTAAATCTAAGCTCTTTTTATAACAATTGTTTATGCAAAATTTTTACTTGTGGATGAAACACAGGTCGTTCATGCATGCCATGAGCAGGCCATTCTTTCCACTCTGTTGCATCTCTTACAGTGGGCGCTTGATAAGTTGCCCCCACATTATACATTTTACGAGTAACAGACCTTGTGTTCATGTAAGGCATGGTGGAAGATTTTCCACGTTTAATGTGTTCAGAATTGAACAGCATCTCCTTTCGTTTCGCAGAAAGTAATCGTTGTCTTGGACGGGAAAAATCCTTGTCCTGGTCTTTTTTGGTAACGCGCGTGGGATTTCTTCTGACTTCCGCTGTTCCACGGCTACAATAAATTTTGACGAAATGATATAAATTTCTCGAAATATTTAATCCTGCTGAAATCTTTTAAATCCAGAACCAATATTTGCATAATTTGAAATTCCAGAAATTTGCGAATAAGTTTTGGAAGTGAAAAATTAAGAACTTCGGGAATTTGGAAATTTTAAATATTTAAAGAATCGAAAAACTTCAAAATTTTACATTTTGGGAGTTTTCGAAAAATTAATAATTTCAGAATTAAAAATTTTGAAAATTAAACATCTTAGGAATTTGTAAATTTGGAGATTTTGAATGTTTAGAAAATTGGGAAATTAACAAATTGAAATTTTTCAATTTTAAAACTGGAAATTTTGAGAATTTGGAAGACTGAAAATTTTGGTGGCTGGAAAATTGAGTATTTTGAAAGTCTGAAGACTTGAAAATATTTCTTAATAGTAAAACATTTGTTATTCTACATTTCCCCCAAATATCACATATTTATGAAAAGATACTTTGCCAAATATACACAAATTAGTATATTATCTTAAATATTTAATATCTCTTAATTATCTACCAACAAGCTTAAAAATTTCTAAAAATAACATTTTTCCAAATATTCCAACTCTCATCCACCACATATTAAAATCAATTTCTCAATAATAGAAACCAAATCTCAAACTTCCTCGTCTTTCGTAGAACCTACTTTTTCCTCGTAGCGCGATGGATCCTCTTAACCTTGGTCACTCCACTGCTAGAAGACGATCCACCGCTACTCGTTTCAGTAGACTCCCTTACATAATCGCTATCATCTTTATATATCTTTTCGCGTTTAATCACAATGGTGCCAGGCGGAAGTTTCCGCAAAATTTCGACAGCCTCGTATTCCTTAGCCTTGCTATTCTGCTCGGTCGATAACGAATCCAGATCGAGCTGTTTCCGGAGTGCCATTTTGCACCGTTCGTCGCTCAACTCGAACACTCGTTTCCTCTCTTGCTGCTTAACCGGTTTTTCATCTTGTTGCTCCATCGACCACCGATCGTTTTCTTTTCTTATCACAGCAATCACGCTCACATCATCATCATCGGAAAATTGTTTTTGTTTCGATTCCATTTTCTTCGGATCTTCCATCTCATTTCACATAAAACTTATTTATTCAATATTGACAAACACACGTATATAATATTTTGCGATTTTTTCGGTGAACTTGAAATAGAGATGAATGGACGGAGACAAGATGTGGAATATAATGGAATACACGTCATACACTTCACGTGTCCTTGGGAAGAATTATTTATTCTTACACACAAAAATAGAGATTTAATGGTAATATTTATAAATTGGTTTTAATGTAGATATATTGTGAGATTCCGTAGAAGACACTTGCCAATTAAACGAATCTGTTCCTGTTTAAAGTGACTGATGAAACATAACCAGTATACTGACACCGGGCACGTGTCACATGCTTTTGTTTCTGCTCTGCTTCAATAATGGGAACAATAGTGTCATCTGGCAATCAAGATTCGCGTTCGATGACACCATGAAACAAGATGTTACCCTGAAATTAAATTAATTAATCGAGAGGATGCTGTGAACTTAGTCATTATACGCTCAGATGTTAATTTTTAATTTGGTACTGAGTCAAACTTTCAGATTCAACTTTAAATTAAATTTTGATTCATATCATTAAAGAAATTTTCACGTTTAGTTGATTAAATTTTCATTTGGTATTAATTGAATTTTCAGAAAATTAATATCAATTTAATTTCAGATATTATATATGTGATATTAATAATTTTAATAATTGTTTTGTAGAATACTGCAACGTTTATTGTGGAAAATTATTACTTTTTATTCTGACAATTATTGAGATTAATATTATACGATTATGAAATTATAAGCAGTAACAGTTATTGGAAATATTAGGGAAATATAAAAAAGAATTATTAATTGATCGATCATGGGCATAATTTTATAACTAATGCTATATAATATTTAAATAAAAAATATTTACAAACTGCTAAATCTTCAATAGATATACACATGATATTAAATTAAACCTTCAATAAATAATATAGAAATTAAAAGACAGAATTATTTTAAGATTTAATCAGAATAAAAATAATATAATTTATAATCTTAAACAAAGTATATGTATATACATATTATATTACATACAAAGGGTGTAGAAGTAGTGAATCATAAGATCGATATAGGTTTTCTCACAAGCGCTGATTTTATTCCAAACAAAATACTAAAACTAGAATATATGTATAGCTATTCCCATTTTACATGTACACGCGTGTACGTATAATATATAATTATTTATATGTAGAAATACGAAATATAATATCATCGCTTCGTATTGCACGATCCAGACTAGAACTGAAATGTATACATATTTATGTATAACATCCTTTGGCACTCTATTCGACTGGGATTTATTTACAAAGAAAAGGAGAATTCGTCTGCGATTATCCTCGATGAGATTTTTTTTTCTTCTTCTGTATTTTTAATTCATATTGTCCGTCGTTAGGGCGAGCGTGGTTAAGACTGACCGTCGATTAGGATTCACGCCTAAATTCTCCCAATTTATCCACGACAAACGTGCTGTCAGATCTACGATTAGAAACAATACTTATTTATTTAATTATTTTATTAATATAAACTATTTAAATATTCAATATTACGAACGTCCTCTATTTTTTAAAAAAGTAACTAGAATTAAATAACTAGACTAAAATAAAATAAAATATAATCTACAAGAATATAAATATGTATATAGTAAAATGATTATACAACAAACATATAGCGAAGTTAAAATAGGACGGTGAAAAAGTCCAATGACCTCGAAAGTTATTACTTTTTTTTTAATGAAATACATATTATTATATATTATTATATTCTAATTTTTTAAGGTATTTCCATACTCCTGACTGGAAAGCAAATAATTCTAATTAATGATTCTCACCACTGGTGTTCCATTCAGCGCGTTCACCATTTATTTCTCCTCTAAGGCACCTCTCGACGTAGGTCAATGGGTCGAGCCTTGCAGCCAACACTTCTCGAAGGAGCGCGATATACGCTATAGCCAGACGTAGAGTATCAATCTTGGACAGCCTCTTCTCATATGGGAACGTTGGAACGTGAACTCGGAGCTCGTCGAAAGCCGAGTTGATGCTGCTAAAAATCGTAATCACACTGACAACCTGCTTCACAATTTATTAAATTCTTCTCTTCAATACAATTTTTTAAATTTGTAACAAAAGTGATATTTAACATGATGCAAAAAATAATAATGTAATAAAAATAGATAACTGTAATAAAAATTTAAACATTGATATTAGTATTATAATATATTTGTATAGGCTATTCGAGAGCTAGATTACGTAAAAGATAAATGATAATTTAAATAAATTATTGGATAAAGATTTCGTTGAGAATAATTTCTCACCTCAGCATGCGTTTTCTTTCGCGTATATTGGCGGCGTGTCGTTGAATTCTATAGGGGCTGCCATTTGGGTAGTAGCCCTCTTCTACACCATTGATCTCCGTATCATTGTGATCTAAAGGAAAAATAATATATAATAAATTCGAAAAGAAAAATTTATTTGTACGCTCAATGTTAAAAAAGTTCCGCAAGATATTCGAATATACGAAATAATTTGGACATTTCGAATTTTCCGGTTTACAGCTTACTAAACCATTCTAATTTAGGATTTTAAGTCTTATCAATATTGACAAATTTTTCAGACAAAACTGTTACTTATTTTTCGCTCCGACTAAGGATAATCAATTATAGGAAATCCTAAAATACATAAAATCAAGACTTTGTATTTGATCTTTTCTTAAATTACCAGGTGTAGAAACCGGCATGTGGTAATGGAGAGGAGAATGAGTATGTGGGGAGGTGTGTGCGACGTGTTGAGTGGATCTACCCGCGTAAACGCAGGAAGGAAGCTCTGCAAGGTCCTCCTCGCTGATATCACTGCTTGGACCCACGTAATACTGACTGCTGTAATCAATAAATATGACCAATTCATCAAAAGGTCTAAATTCTCTATTCTGTCTATTCGTTAATCTATTAAGCAAATTTTTTTTTTCTACAACATTCCCATGTTTCTCATTTATAATAGAAAATAATTTTACTTATTACAGTCGTATTCAACAATAATTTCAGAAATGAAAAATCTTAAGACAAATCTTGGAATTTTGGAAATTTGAAATGTTGGAATTCTGGAATTTTGAAATTTGAAATATTAGAATTTGTTAATTTTAGGAGCTCAGAAGTTTATGATTGTGAAATTTCAGAACAAGCCAGAATAAAATCTTTTAAACTTCAACATCAAGATTTGTCAGTAATTCTAGAGAAATTAAATTTTTATAACAAGAAAATAATGCTTTAACTCCAATTTTTTAGAAAAGTGTCGAGAGATTCATTTTTTGTCCGCAAAAAATTTACCTAGTGCAAGCCACAGTGGAGTCAGCCGCCCTGGAAGTGGTGCCGACCCGGTGCCTCATCCTCTGCCCCCTGTCTTCATACTCGTAACTCGAATGGCTCGCCATGCTTCCTACCCTTACCAGATCATTAATCACTTCACTTGCAATTCTCTAATTAATTTACCAAGTCTGCAAATTCCTCAAAATCTTTTGCCCAACTTCCAGTTGTCCTCCTCAAAAGTCTCTCCACAAAAGATTCACTTCTAGAACCAAATTTACTTTTTGGTTAAAGTCTGTTTTATCCCTGCTACTTGATTAGTAATATTAACATTAACTTATGTCTCCTAGGTTAGGTCACTACTTCACGATAGTGGTCGGTGAGAACCGAAGATTCACGAACAGCAAAGGATTCAGACTATCGTCAGTGTCCCTGGGGAGGCTGCTTTATATACCAAAACCCGTGGAAACGCCAAGGGGATGATCGATGCAACCCCTGGGCGGAGAATCCAGCCAATCGGAAACCATACAGGGTGAAACGTACCCTCAGACCACTCAGCCATTGGTGGATCGCTGAACGAGCATAGTAGGAACCCACTGAATGCTGCGGTTTATTGTTACTGCCGTCGGAAATTTTATTTCTATCATTCTCCATCCTCCATCCTCCCACTTCCCAGCGAAATTTGTCCGCCTCGCCCTCCTCCTTCCACAATTTGGCGACAGTCCGACCAACGAGACACACGGAGGAACTCTTCTTAAAACCTGGAAATTTTCCACGAAATTATTTCGGGTCACTCGAGAGCTTTCATGGATGGTAAGGTTTGTGCAAGTTTTTTAGAAATATTATTCCGGATGAAGAGGTTAGGTTGTTGTGACACATAAATACTTTGGAGGCGGAGATTAATTTTGGAATTTGTTGAATAATCTACGATGTTTTAGAGGACTTTTTGGAGGTTTTCGGAGATGTCGAGGTGAGCTTTTTTGCAACTCGAGGTTGTATAATTGAGGTGGAGATTAAAGGAAGATGGTAGACTTTTATTGGGTAATAACTTTGAAATATTGTTATTAAATTTTTTAAATGCAGATATTTAGGCAAATTCATATTTTCCATGTAAACATGTTTCCATCTCCCATAGGAGTTAATATTAATTTCTCCAAAAACTCATACATACTATAACCAATTATAGAAAGCAGGCAACTTAATCACAACAAACTTCCTACTTACGTCATGGATATCATTTACACTAGAATTTTGACTTCTTCCTTAAAAAGAATTAATATGTACTCAAAAGAGTTAATAATGTTATTAAAATCGGTAATATTTCATTCGTGTTATCTATATCAAATGGTGCATAATTAAAGAAAGCTGACAGCCTGAGAAAGAGTACAGAGAACATTATAGGAAGCGACCACGAGTACACGAACCTTCCCCTTTATCAGTGATCGAGCTTTCCAGTGCGAGGAAGAGAGGTTGTGCGACAGACAGAACACTGAATGGGCCAATATTCAAATGAGACGTGTTTAACGGAGGCACAATGAGAAACGCGGCGGCGTCGGTGGCGATGCAATTATGCAAGGTGTTAATACGATCACAATGCTGGTTCGCTAGGGTTGTACCTAGTAAACTGACAAAGTTTTGTCATCATCTAGCTTGAAAAAGCTATATCCCATTGCCTTTGGTTGGTTCCAAAGTGAATTACTATTGTCGATCATCGATATACACTATAGACCTCGCAACATAATTGGGATTATGTCGGGGAACGTATGTGAATCGAAGTTTCAGACGAAAGAAGTAGAGCCCTTTCCACGTTCAATTTGCATATTTTGATGTTATCTGCTGGTTGGAGATTAATTTCATGCTAGGTTCCTGAAAGAAAAAATTGAAGGTTAGGTTGATGTTTCGGAATGATGTAATATTTATGAAAATAACAGTTTATCGTTAGGGAGAAGATATAGTATTGGAGATATAGAAGATACTGCTCTTTTCTATTTAAAAATTAGTTGTAAATATGTATAGGTTAAAAAGGTGAAA